CACATGCCGTACATGCAACCGAAATGAATTCAAACAGCTTTCAGCTTAAAGTCCTTATCGATTTTCGCGAATGAACAAAAAAGTACATCCCAAAAAAGTGGTGAAAAGTGAAAAGCAGATAAAATACACTCTGCTAAAAACATCACTATTTTCTTCTTATTTCTAAAAACGAGAAAAAAATTTCAAATTTGTACACAGATTTTTTTGGAGCAATTTTCTAAGCTTTAGCTAAATTTTGTACATTTTTTCCTTTTTAGAAACGCAGTTCTTAATAATAGAAAATATTTCTAAATATATTCTAATTGGGGGGACTTTTTCTGAGTGTACAAACACCAATTGCATTTTCAGCTTATTGTGCAGCAGAGCTATGAGAAAGGCAGAACAAGATAGCGACTATATATAGACACCGCCACAAGCCAAAGGCCAAACCAGGACTATTGCAGTTGGGTGTGGAGCAGTTAGATGGAGTGGGGGTGGGGTGGGGTGGGTTGGAGTGGTCTGCGTGGCGTTATTACAGGGACTCGGAAATGTACCCGTCATCGGTCTTAATTGATGATATATGTCTGGGTCTGTGTGTGTGCTGTTGTGGCTGCTTTTCCTCTCTCAGGGAGTTGGCATTTTCATTAAAGGGAAAGCAGGCAAGGATATATATGACCAGCAACACATGTGTCTGCAGCTGAGGCAAAAGGACGTCAAGATTTGGCTCGATGTCAGCCTTTAATTAGTGACATAAACTTGCCTTGCGAGCCGAAACAACAAATTGAGTAGTTCAACAAAAGTTAGTTAGTTGAAATAAAAATAGTTGTACATAAAATCTTTTGACTTCTAAACTTTCTCAGAGGAAAAAAACTGTTTGAAAGGCGTTTAAGTGTGGACTACATATAAGAGTATAAGTAAGAGCAGTGAGTAAGAAAAATGTTTACGACCCCACTAAATATATATATTCCTGATCGGAAATGGGACTATTATATCATAAAACTGCTATAGGAACAATCGGTCGAAAATGTATCTATATTTTTGCTTATTAAGTTACCTTAACCAAACACATTACTTATGCATTTTATCAAGTTTCTAACATTTGGTTAACAAATCATAAAAATTAGACTACTATATCATATAGCTATTATAGGAAAAATCGATTGGTTTTCATTTAGATAGAAATTTGATTAAATATTGTTTTGAATGTCACATTTCGATAAGCCTCATCTCTTAAATATCATATAACTACCAACCACGACTCTTGTGTTCAATTCTCTCTCTCCCTCGATCTCTCTCTCTCTCTCTCTCTGAATCTCTCTGTCCAAATAGTACGAGCCAAGCCCACGTGCGCAAAGAAAAGATCGGTTTGTGCTGAGTGCAAGGGAAACAGCAGTAGCTGAGAGTGTGAAAGAGATGGAAGATGGAAACTAGCACGCTGACAATGGTCACAGAATGGTGACAGAAACACACCCAGATGAGATTTCGAGTTCGAATTGAAGTCGAAGTCGGAATATTCGGCATAGATGACAAGTCGGCGCAACGAATCACCATTTTGCGCTGTCCTTTGGTCCTTCGGCAGCTCCTTTTGACGATCATCCTGTCACGCGTTCAGAATCGGTTTCTTTTTTTTGTTTTGTTGTTTTTTTTTTTTTTGTGGGGTGTTTGTTATTTGCACAAAAACATTTTAAAGCCCAAAACGCAGCGAGGCCAATATAAGTGACAATAAATCAAATAAAAGACGAAAATCGCTCGCAAATGACACTAAAACATATATATTTCTCTTTCGCACTCTCTATTTCTCATTCTCATTCTGTCTCTATCTTTTTTTAGTTGCATTGATTGGATTTAACTTCACACATCTTGCAGCGGGGTGTTTATTTCTGGCTTACGACCTGAGCACAGGGCACTGAGCACAATTTTATTGTTTGCCACAAATTAGTTCCGATTGGCAACTAGCACCAGGATCATACCAGCAGCAGATCCTGGTGAGGAGCATATGCTCCCTCATCAATAGCTGCAATGATTGCTGCTGCCAGTTGTCCATTTACACCAGATTAGCGACGGCTTTGAGTCCTCATCGGAGTCGTAGTCGAAGTCACAGCTGCCGATCGTGCAATTTGTTGCGCCTCTGCCAGCAATTGCCTCCTACTTGCCACAATGCCACATTGGCACGGCGCATCGTTTTTGTCGCGCTACTCATTATTGATGGGCTGCAACGCTAACCAGACACAATTTGGGGTTGCACACTCCCAAACATCGATGATGAGGATCCCTCGGATCTGTGGAAACGGTTCGTATGGATTTCAATTTAGGGTTGCAAGTTATGTGATGCAGAAAGGAAAGTGGCAAGGAAGTAGAAGAGTTGAATTTATTTTAGGAAGTAGAAGTAGTTAATACAGAAGCAAGAAATTAATTAAATTAAATTACAATTTTGATTGAAAGTTATTTATTTATTATTTTATTCATTAATTAATTTATTTGTTTATTGTCAACTAAAGAAAATAAAAATAGATCTATTAATAAATTTAAATTAAAATATAACAAATCTGGTGGTATTAATATCTTAACTATAATAATTCAATCTAAACTCTAATTATTAACCAATTAATAACTAGTTTTTAGCCCACATTAAAAATTCCGTAAATTGTCCCTTTCGACTGAATCAATGGTCTAGTATTTATAACATCAATGACGTCTTACCGGAATTATATGTAGATTTGTGATTCATTTTTATTTTTCCTTTTTTTATTTTTTAGTTTTATTATGCAGAGGTCGACGAGGCAAGCTACAAGTTGCAAGTTGCAAGTTGCAAGCTTCGAGCGCACTTCCTACAATATAATCATTTTATCTTGAATGTGCCCTGCAACGCCCACTGCGGACACGCCTCCTCCTGCCAGGGTCACAAACATGAGAGAGGGGGAGCATGGGGGACCAGGAGTAGAGCAGGAGGAGCAGGAGGAGGGAGGAGCAGAAGTGAAGACGAAGCTTTTGCAATCGAGTAAAAATTGTACGTGCTGTCATCGATCGCGATCGTGGGATACGCGCACAAAGCGTAGACCCCAAAGAGGAGAGGACCCCAGCTCGGTCAGGTGATGGAGCTGCAATAGTTGGTCCAAGCCCTCAGCCAGGCCAAGACACAGTCGGCCAGGCCAGGCCGAGAGTCTCTCCTGGCTACATGGCTAATGTGATTACAGACTTTAAGTTTATAAACATGGGCCAGACCAGTGCCTGGCTGCTGCTGCTGCTGCTGCGGCTGCCTACTGGCAACCCATACACACACACAGCCACAAATATATATATATGTATATATATTATATATATTTTCACATACAGTTTCAGATTCAGCTTCAGTTTCTTAGCCCTCCTGTTGCGTTGCAATTACGGCGCGTGCAAGCGACCCTCGATCCCTCAATATGCCCCATACTGCATGCCCCTCTTCCCCCTCCCCTGCTCCCTGCTCTCTGCTCTCTGCTCCCTGCTCCCTGCTGTATGCCGATCTGTGCCTGATGAATTCTTATTAGCTGGCTTTGGCTGCTGCGCAGTTAGGAGCGGCAAACTTCAACCGTTGCGCTTCCTCATAACTTTTGCTCTATTTTTTTTTTATGACTTTTGGCCGAGAGTCTCGGGATCTCCCTTGAGCTGTCGAATATTGTCTGAGCCACAGCATTGCGGATTTGTCGGATAAGGCCGCTGCTGCCTGCTGGCTGCTGGCTGCTTGCTGCCTCGATGTCTGCCCCTGAAAATGGACAACAACAACAAGAACAGCAACCAGCTCGAGTCTTTGCCTGGAGCAGCGTGTTGTCAGCGAGGCACGCGCAAATCCCTAATGGAATTCAGACCGAGTTCAATATGTGAACTACAGAGAGTGCGATACGGAGAGAAGAAGAGAGATATATGAAGGAGAGGCAATGCCCTTGCCCATATCTCACTTTGTGCGCTGAGTGAATCATTAAAAAACCGCAGCCTGGCCCAAAGGAAGAAAGCATTAAATAGCTAGAAATAATATAAATTATGTAAACATTTGACAGTTTTCAAAAGATTTAATGTCAATTGGTTAAATACTATTCAAGTCGCTAGAAATAATTGATTAGGTAATTGTTTGGCAATTTTAGTAGAGAAATAATTAATAAAAACAAATGTGGCCATGTTTTAATAGATTTCGTGAGAACAACTATTTTTAAAATCTGAACTATATATTTCAATTATTAATAATATGTATGGTAGGCTTAGTTATGGTGGTTGTGTGGGCTGATTAAAAAAAGACAACCCATAACCCAAATATGAAATGCATTTCATAAATATATCCTGTGTTGCCGCTTAGTGCCGCACGTAAGCAATACACAGAGATATTTAATTGGTTCGAATCTTGTTGTTAAGCGATTACACACACACTATTCTGTAAATAAAATAAAATCAATTTTGAATATTACAAAATATACTTATTTTTCTTTTGTTGAGCGGGAAATATGGTCATCCAATTACAGGTTGCAGGGATAGCAAGTACACAGAACCCAATGACCCAAATTAGGTTGCTGCATTGACTAATCAACCGAATCAAACAAAAAATACTGCATACTTTTAGGGCCTAATCAAACGCCGGGAAAATAGCTATAACCCGATTTTCGTAAGACGAGTTGCGTTAGCATCACAAGAACCAACTCCATCGAGCTGCATGCAATGAACTTACAACGCAAACATGTAAAAATTTCTCTTTTGGGTGAGCATATCTGAGTCGAGTCAAGAATGATTTAGATGTCCTTTAGCCAGTTGATAGTGTAAGCAAAAAGTTTATCACCAAGACTGTGAGGATCCCTTAGAATATAGTCCACTTATGAGCAATTTTCTGTTATAAGAAAAGTAAAGTTTATCATAGGTTTGAAGGGCTTTCGTCCTTTTTCTTGCTTGATTAGAATCGGCAGGTCAAGCAGCGGCAGGGCAGCTGAGAAAACTCAACCGTTTCACTCATTTGTTTGCTTGTTGTTTGAGCTCATTGCTTATTGCTCATTCTTTACACAGATGAATTTGATTATTTTAAAATTAGTAATTATTTATTTCGGGACTTGTGATTAACATTACATGGATAAGAAGATTAAATTTAATATAGTAAATACATATACTTTATTCAAATCTACATAAGCGTGCCCCACTCAAATGGGGAGGAGTTCAGTCATTGAGATCGACGCCTTCGCCATTCACCTGGATGGTGATGTACTCGTTGCCCCCATCAGCTACAGCTGGTGGCATAGGGGCGGCTGCTGCTGCTCCGCGTCGTGGCAAGGATTGCAAGGATATCTCATCGCTCTCGCGCCGCATAAAGCGGCGACGAGTGCGCGCAAAGTCAAAGGATTCCCTTTGCCGTTGTCGAGACTGGGCATAGGAGGCATCCGTCAGCTGCTGCAGTGTATGAGTGGAACTGGTGCGTCGCAGCTGGGCCAGCTCATGCTGCGGCAGCGCGGATTGCATTGTTGCACCCACCAACGATTGCCGCTGGCGACCACCAAAGCAGCCGGTAGCATAGCGTCCATCCGCCGAGCGAGAACGCCGTTGTCGCATTGAATCCCGAGCACTCAGCAGTTGCTGTGGAAGGAGATAGATAAATAAATAGTACGATCATTACATAAAATCATTAACTATTTATTCTTGCTTACCTGCTGCATTTCGTCCTTGCGCAGGCGGCGCAATCCCTGCTGCTCCTCGAGCTTGTTGCTCATATGGGCCATCCAATCACGCGCCTGTCGGAGTGACAACGAGCTCTGAGAACGCTCCGGCAGCCGGGCGGGGAAGAGGGTCTCTCGGGCACCCACCACACTGCCGCTATTGAGGACGAAGACACGGGGAAAATCTATCACAAAGTCCCGACTCCGTATGAGATTAGCGAGAGCACTCGCTTGGACTTGAGGCTGTGGAGGTTCCTGTACAATGTTGATTGCAGTCTGGGGAGGATTGCTGGAATTACTTGCAGGCGGCCGATCTGGTTCGTACTCCAAAATGCTCTCCTCGCTGCCAAGGAACTGAAATGAGAAGAGGCTTTAAGGCATGCGTTCCATGTAGCCAAGGATGAAATTGGTTAATTGGTCAAATTATCCTTTTGGTCGAGTTGGAGTTGATCCTTTGGCAAATCTACGATGGATTGGACAAGCGCTGGGGACCTTTTTTTTAGCAGTTTCTACATTGCACAAAACAAAAGCGAAGCATTTTTGAATTCAATTAATTTATTTTTTCTTAAATATTTGCTTGAGTCCACGTTTTGCTTAAGGTTTTTAGCAAAAAACTATATATATGTATACGTATTATATCTGATAATTATAATCGACAACTAATTAAGGCCCAACATTGGAATCTTTATCTTTGACTGGTTTCAGCGGGCAGTTGATTTTTGCGGATTGTTTTCAGAGTATGTTTGACTCAAAAATTAATAATGAAATTTTAAAAAAATTAATTAAATTAAAATAAAATGCAATGGGTTGTTTTTTGTTTCCTTCTTTTTTGGCATTGGATCGCAGATATGTTTTCTTAGGTATTAAGCAATTTTCAGAACTTCCGGAACTCATTTCTAAGTACATACAATGCATAAAAATGTATATATTTCACACCTATATTTATTCGTTAAATTTTTGTTAATTGTGCTCTTGGATATTTTTTTTATTTAAGTTTTCCGCTTTAAGGAATCTCAAGCATTTAACGCTGCTATTCTAAACATTTATATAATCAAGCCCAACATCCAAGTTGCCAGTTTGTCAAAAAAAAAATAAATAAACAAAAAAAAAACACAGATTCATACGATATCGATTGTCATTTAATGACAATTTGCGATGCGCTTAAGAAAAAATCATGTAGCGAGAAATTAAGAGAGAAATTAAAATAAATAATAATAACTAGCTGTAGATTTATTTAGAAATTAAACAACTAAAGCTAAAAGCAAATACTTTGGCACCTTCGACATTATTTTGTATGAGTGTGTGGGTGTGTGTGTGTGTGTTGTGTGTGTGTGTGTGTGTGTGTGTATTGTAGTTGTTTGTTGACTAGCAAAACAGGCGCTGATTTTGCTACGATAATAATAATAATTATGTTGCATTGAATATTACAGCTGCTGCTACGGATCTACGCGTGTTTTTTATGATTGATTAATAATACAATTCAATACAATATATGTTGTTATATTTATGTAGTAATAGTAGTTATTGTAGTACTTTTCTTCAAACTTGTTTTTTCTTCACTTCTTTTGTTTTTTTTTTTATCGACAATTGGTACACTTAAATTTATAACTTAATTAACTTAGAGCTCGGCTGTATTTTCGGTTTCTTTTCTTTTCTTGTGCGTGGTTCAGTTCTGCGTCTACAGACTATTTTTGTATGAGCTGTAAAGCAAGCATTAGTTTAATAAATTCAAAAGATTGCAGTTGCAAAAAAAAAAAATCTTTTCAAATGTTGTTCTGCTTGTTTTACAGCACTGCTTCTTTTGCCGGTGTCAGTATTTTAATCACACTGCTTGGCACAACTTTACACTGCTTAGCACAACGAGACACTGCTTGTTGGCACAAGCAAGCAGAGCCCCAGCACACGATTTTTACATGGTAAACGTAGAATGTCGATTTTAAATATATATATAAATACAACTAAATATAAGTATATATAATATTTAGAAGTAGATGTACGAGCATATATATAACTTATAGCTTAGACGTCAGTCACCTGGCGACTGGCAGTGCAAATGACTTGCGGCATTGTCGCCGGTGCCGAATTACGTCGAATACGTTCTTCAGCACCTGAAACACCCTGTTGCTGTTGCTGCAACTGTTGCTGATATTGGAACAATTGTTGGTGCTGCTGCTGGTGACAACTATTGCTAGGACTATGATGATGATAGTTTATAGCACTAGGATCAAAACTACTAAAATTGCTGTGCTGCTGCTGCTGCTGCGGCAACTGAATGACAATAACGGGCACCTCTTCAGAGGATGAATTTGGAGCAGCAGCAGTAGCAGCAGCAACTGTCGCAGCAGCTGTTGCATCAGCAACTGTTGCATCATCGTGGGGTGGATTATTGTGCTGTGGGCTGGGCGTTTGATAGATTTGATCACCCACCACATATCCATAGAATTTGAGCACATCCAGCTTGCACATGGGACAAGTTCGATGCTCAATCAGCCAAGGATCGATGCAATTCTTGTGGAATTCGTGCCTATATTTCAAAGTTATCATTACATATATATATTTATTTATATATTCTCACTCAACTCACTTGCAAGGCAGTATGCGTATGATGTCCGCCGGTTTGTATGACTCAATGCAGATGGCACAGCAATCGCTGTCCAAATCCTTCTCATCGGTCATTTTACCCGTTTTCGTTGGTATTTTCATAATTGCCTTCTTTGTTACGGAGCAAAGATTACGCTAAATAATCAATAATTATTTATAAAATATATATATAATAAACTTAAGAAATTCACGTACGGATTGCTGATCCTTTGCCTGCATATAACGGAATCGCTGCACATAGTAAAAGATGAGCCACACGAGCGAGATAATCATTAGCACTATGAATGATATGGAAACAAATAGAACGGAGGTTCTGCAAATAAGAGAACAACTATTATTATTGTTATTATTAGTAACTAGAACTAAGTAAACTGAGAGCTAATAGTATTACTATAATTACTAGTAATATTAATACTTTTTTATTAGTCATACTAGAACTAAGTAATCTTTGAGCTAATAATACGTTGGCATATTATCATCTAGTGGAGAACAAGGTTTGTTAGCACAATTTATTTAATTTAAAGCAGTTCAAAATTGCATTCGACTGCAGAGGTTTTGCTGGAATGCAGCATTTGACCACAACTGACAACAGGGGGACGTAGCTCAGTGGTAGAGCGCTCGCTTCGCATGTGAGAAGTCCCGGGTTCAAACCCCGGCGTCTCCAATTGTTACGAATCTATTTTGCAATTTTTTTGTTAATTACAAATGCAAAATGATTTAACAATAAGATTTATAAGTCAATAGAAGGGATACGATCTAGTACTCTACGTCCTTTTGCAGAGCGGAAAATAAGTACGCGATAATTTTCCTTAAAAATTTGACCCCTTTGGCCAACATAGTGCATTATGCCGCTGGGTGTCAAAAGGGGACGTAGCTCAGTGGTAGAGCGCTCGCTTCGCATGTGAGAAGTCCCGGGTTCAAACCCCGGCGTCTCCAATTGCTACGAATCTATTTTGCAATTTTTAAAAAAAAACATGAATCAATCAGTCTGTGGTCAATTTTGCAGTAAATAAAAAACTAGTCAACTAAAAAAGTACACTAATCAATCAGTCAGCGGTATGTTTTGTTTACCAGCTATCAATTGACAAACCGGTCAATTATTTTACACGTCTTGCAAGCAGTCGAAAAACAATGTTTTATCATTCAAGAAAGCAATTTCTTTTCGCTTGGTACAAGTAAAGCATTTTTCTTAAATCGTTTTCATGGGGACGTAGCTCAGTGGTAGAGCGCTCGCTTCGCATGTGAGAAGTCCCGGGTTCAAACCCCGGCGTCTCCAGTTTGGAATTCTACTTCTTTTTTATTTTTGAATAACTTTTTGCTCACTCACCGATTTAAACTGCTGATGGGACGAACACCCCGACGTCCTTCGATAATGGATATGGTGACATTATGTCCCTTATCGAGATTGGTGGCCAAATCGAGTCCGATCACCTGATAAGTAATCACGGCGGCAATATTACCTGCAAAGTAGCGAAATTGAATTAGGGAGAAAGTTCCAATGATGATCTCCCCTCTCACTTACGATTCTTGCCTTTAATCTGCATCTTCTCCAGCTGCATGACCTGCTTATCATTGTAGATGATTACGCCTGCCGCATTATATTGATGCACATGCTTCACCTTATCTTCGAATGTGCAACGTCCCCGCCGCACCAGCGCTATCCATGGCGTGCCCTTCTCCGGCAGCGGGGTGCCGAGTGTGCCTCGTATGTACGGCGTACAGGCGAAATCATCGCTAATATCATCAGTTGTGCTGATGTGAATCAATCGTCCTGTCACATTGAGCACTTTACCCTCGCCGTAACGTGCCTTCTCCTCGGGAAACTCAATCTCAACAGGCATATTATCGACACTGTCGATATACGACCAACTGAGGAAGGCAAAATTATACACATCCATCGCGATTCGCTCCTCGCCGATGCTGGCGAATGAATGCGTTGCATTCGCTGGTCGAAAATAACGCTCCAAATCCTGATTGGCAATGGTCATCGCTGCCACCAGAGTTGTGGTCGTCGTTGTTGAGATCAAATGCGGTTGGCCACCCAGCAGGAGCAGCAGACATGCCAACAGCAGCATCTCCTGGCAGTACATCTCTTATATCTCTTAACTCTTCACTCTTTTAGTCTTCTTCTACTACTACGCAGTTATTTCGCTCTTTCCTTCTAAGCTCTTCGAGTTCTTGTCTCTATAAACGTTGCAACATTTGCCAAACTTGCTTAAATACTGAAACGATAATAATAAAAAAAATACGCAAGTCAGTGTTAAGAGACTATTGCCATTTTTAATACTCTGATATCGAAGTTATCAAGGGTATATTAGTTTTGTGCAGTGTCCGTCTGTTCTTAAAGCTAGAGTCAGACAAAGAATTGGGCTGATACTTTCACTTTGTTGGCTAGAAAATCTATTAGATCGATTAAGACAATAAAAATGGATAATCACAAATCAATAAGGCCACATATCTACTTAATTTGGAAGGTATATTACCTAAAGTATTGCCACTTCTGTGGCACCTGTTACCAGAGTATTTTGCAGTCCGATACGCCTGACTGCAATGTTCTCGTTTTTTTTTTTGTAAACTGTACTCATAAAATTACGAGTAGCTAAAATATATGGCTGCTGACGAGTTAGGGCCAAAAAAGAAAAAAAGTGTGGGGCCGCTTGCTATAAGGCTTGGCGATAAGCGGCCATGTATATATGTATATTATATTAATAGCACTCGATGCGTTCTTTAATCTTAATTTAACCGTTTGATAAAGCCCTTATCAGTAGTGCTTTGGTATAATTTGCTTGAGTCTACAGCTGATGAACGGCTTACTAAAGTTTCGGAAATGCGAACACTTTCGCAATCACAATTATAATACAAAAAAATAAAAATAAATAAATAAAATACAACAACTTATATATCAGTGAAAAGTCTGTGAGAATATTTCACAATAATTGTGGCAATTGAATTATTTTAATTTCATTTAAAATAAAGAGAGAACATCAGCTGCGATTCAAGCTGGAAATTTTACTATAATAAAGGTATTACGGTAAGGTTGATAATAATATAGTGCTACAAATAAATCAGTACAAAGTTTGCAAAGACGCTCGCTTATCAACCGATTAAAATTGAGGCAACTTTCCAAATGCTGTTAACGCAAAGTAAATGTCTGTGTATATAGTGTATATAGTTAATGCACACAGTTTCTGGGTCAAACACAAATCATATGAAAACCAAGACGGCGAAAAGCAATCCAGTAATTTAAGCAAACGCTGTTTTACTTAGTGTTTCCTGCCATTTGGGCCATTTTATTGAGCTTAAGCGCCAGGCTGAAGGCCAATGCCAGTGGTAAGCTCAAAAACGTTGCCATATTAATAATATGGCACACCCACCTCCCGCCAACGCAGCTTGCCTGCCTGCTGTGGCAGAGGCAAATGCAATGCATTTAAATATTTTATTCTCTGTTGCCACGGCTAAGAGGCATGAGGGATGGGGGATGGAGGGGGAGGCGTGAAGAGTGTTGCACGACAGACTCGTGGGTGTGCGGCTGACACTGAAAAGTGGTTCGGCAAGCCCCAACCAGGCCACCATCAGGCAGTTACCAACGATGTATCAACTACCAACTAAACTTCGAGAAGAGGCGACCAACTCATTGCAACCAGTTCTCCTCCTTTGCAACACACACAGAATCATCGCTTGGACACCTACTTGTTATACATCTTGGCATCCCCCCACCTACCCCCTCCCCACACTCTTTGTCTGAGGCCATATAATAAATTAAATTTGAATGGCATTCAGTGTTGGTAGTCAACTCAAACGAAGCAAAGCCTCAACAAAAACCACCAATTGAATACAAAACTGTATTTCGACGCCTATTTATGGCTGCATAACTCAACGTGTGTGTGCGAGTGTGTGTATGTGTGTGCATCTGCCTCTAACTGGGTGTGTGGAGGTAAAATTGGGGTCTTACTCAGCTCATCGCTACAAAGCCACTGTTTGAGATTGTCAGCCAAATTAGAATACGCAAGGAAAATTGTCCCCTTTTATGAACAGTACATTAACACAATATTTTCTTTAGAACAGGTCAAATATTTTAGCTTTATATTGGCGAATCAATGAAGAAGAATACGAATAGTTTATAGATCATAGTAACTGGATTATCTATTCGCATTGTTATTAATTTCTTGGCTTGAATACAGCTAAGATATTTGAAGTACTGAAAAGCAAACATGATCTTTGTTTTGTACTTTGCATACGTTTTTTTAATTTGTTTACAATTTAACCTTAACCCCTATTTCCCAAAATTCCCAGCTGCTTTGTAGGGGAGTCTCGAATTCGACCAAGTCTTGCCAAAAATGATTTTTGAATGTGGACCGCACATTTTGCATGCATCGTTGCATTTTATTTCAGCATGCGCTCTTCTTGTTGTTGTTGCTGTTGCTGGTTGCAGTTGCTCTTGGCATGTGGGTAACCGGCAGGACAAGGGCAGCGATCGATGTGGATGTGAATGGAGGGAATACGGCCAAATGGGGACAGAGTTGTGTTGCTGTGCCAGATAAATAAGTCAGCAGCAACAATAACAGCAGCAGCAGCAACAGCAACAGCAACAACAACAACAAGATGAGCACACTTTGCCTGTTTAGGATAATGACCCTGAGTGTTTTGTTGTTGTTGCTGCTGCTGACGCTGTTGCCAAAAGTGTTATAAGTGCATATATACACATGGGTGTGTGTGTGTGCGTGTGTATACAGTGTGTGAGTGTGTGTGCATGTCGCAATGTGTGTGCGTATATGTGAAAGTGAAAAAATGGCAAAATTGAATTTGGTATTCAATTTTTGTGGTATTTTTATTTATTGACGTGCTTGTCTCCGAGCTGTGTGTGTGTGTGTGTGATAAAGTTTATGCCGGGTGTGGCTGCGTCGCATTTTTGGATATGAATTCGAAATTGCGTTCTTTGCTAGATTTTGATTATTGTTTTGCAGAAATTTGAGCAGCAGCAAAAATACCACCAAAGTTTGTTGCATCATGGAAAATGTTTATCTGTCACGTTTTCAAAAATCGAAATTAAGATGCCACAACATTAATAAATACGATTCTTACACTTAATGATTTCTTTTCTCTTTCTATAACAGATTTATAATATTTATATATTATATTAAATTAATATATCATCGAAATTTGTTACAGCATGGTAAATGTTTATTTGTCACATATCCAAGACCTAAATAAAGGTGCCATTTTTCTTTCTTTATGGCAGACTTTTAATATTTATATATTAAATTAATTAATTTGGTTATTTTTTGCTTTGCTGCGTTTGTTGTCATCATGGTTTGCTGTTGCATTTGTTTATTGTTATTGTTTATTTATATAAACGCTTTTGTTGTTATTAAGTTACGTTTCGTACATTTTTGGCCAATTGCCAGCGCCACAAAGTATTTTGCCCCATCTAAATAAATAAAGCAGCTCAATTGTTTTTGTTTTTATTCTTTGTTCTCTTTTTTTTTTAATTTCTATTATATGTTCACGAGGAGAGTGCGAAAGGGTATTTTTAGTTTATTTGTTTTGCGTTTTATTCGTTTTTGATCATTTTTGTTGTTTATTGTTCAGATCCACAGGTGTATCTAAATGTATATGGGTTATAGCCCACTGTTTTAATCGATTTTTTCATGATAAGAAATTTATTTAACGCTTTCAAGTATCATTTAGCATAATAAATTGAAATGTATGGAGTTTTAAAATATATAAATATGCAGATTTCCACCTGAAAAGAAGTTGACTTCTGTTATTGAAATATTATTTATGGACCGATGGAAAAAATGGCCATAGATGAACAATTTCAGTTGATAAATTGCTAAAATCGGAAATGGATACTATAAAAACTTGACAAAATAAACAAGCTACCGTAAATGCCGTTAAATAAACACATAAAGTAAAGCTCGCATAGATAAAGCCAGAGAACAGGGCAGAAAAGAAGAGTCATACATAAATTCATACTCATAAGTGCACTCACATAAATATTCGTTTGTTTGCGTATCGAAACGTGATTTGCAAAAAACGTGATACGAATGTTAATACAAATATTTTGCAACAGCGAATGTATTTTATTTTCTGCTTGTTTATATTCGAGTGTTTGTTGCCGCTTTTTATTCACTTGAATAATATTTAAAATAAAAAATAAAAAAAAACTTAAATATTTAATTTATTTACATTTTGTACGAGTAATGAGTAGAGGAAGCACGCTTCCAATGCCTACCGACAATCTAAATGCTATAAGAGCTTTGAGTTATAACAATGATATATGTTCAATTTAAAAGGTGCACCAAAGGATGCTTTACCAAAGCGTTGAGGAGGAAGTCACCAAACAGTTGCCCCGCCAATTAAAATGTGATTAACAAAATAATGGGCCATTTGAAATTCAAGAAGTGTACTTCACGGCTCTGTGCCATATGGAATGAGTGGAACACTGAATAAGGAAGAGAGCTATTCACAAATACCAGCTTATAATTGAACCGAAGTGGAAGTCTTAGAAAGAAGGTAGAACTTAATTGTGGTATTCAATATTTAATATTCAATTAATGAGATTTATTGAAAAGATGACTAAGTTCATTTTATAATGTAAGAGGTAGGAATTGCATTGGTTTATTAAACACAGCTCCCGATTGAGATACTCTCAGCTAAACTCTTAAAATTCAAATAGATTCCATTCAATTCAAATTCAAATTCAAGTGATTTAACTCAGCAATGCCATACTCAGATTTATACATTATCTATTTCACAATAAGTCTTTTGTGGAAAATTGTGTAGGTCAACTGCAAATAGATTCGCTTTCTTCAGGTCATTCAATTGATTGATCAGTTGTGTTAACGTGCTCGGATTATTTCTACGCCTTTTCCTGAGCTAGAGCTAGATCAACTAAAATTACGCACTTTTTCTGGCTGCCTAAATCTGTTCCAGGCAAAAGTTTTCTGAAAATTCCTCTGCTGCCTGCTCCTGCTTGCGCCTGCTGCAGTGAAATGTTGCATATTAAATTGGGAAAGAATTTCAAATAGTTTCAACAACTTGAGGTACTTGCTCAAAAAATATTTCGTTGTGCAAAACTTATTTGTTATTAAAATGGCAAAAGAGTGCAATGTTGGTTGTTTGGCAAAACCACAAACGGAAACTTTTTACTGGCATTATCAAACCACTGCTGGGATTTGAAAGAGTTTTCATTTAACATTTGAGTGATTTTGATGCGTTT